ATGTTATATTTTGAGACTGATCATAAAAACAAAATGGATTAAAAGAAGAACTAAACAGATCTTTCTCATATTGCAATGATCGATTCTATTTCTTTCACATTAAGTACTGTACTAGTAAATATGTGAAATGACAAACTCACTTTGAAGGTTGGCTTTCATACACATCAGTATTAAGTTTAGATCAAAAGTTACCTCAAGGTGCATTTACTGTTAACATGACTCGATCAAACAGATTAGAGGAAAGAAGAGAAAAGATCGAACTGACAAAGAACTAATGAAGATGGTACAAAGGTGGGCGCCAAGATCCCTCTGGGATCTCTTGTTTATATTTAATTCAATGTGATTTGTAGCTGTATCAGACTGACTGACTTTTGATTCGGTCCTCAGGCTCACATAGATGCTCAGAAAACGGCACTGCGATTTGAGCGTGCCTGCAGCATGCATGAGGCAGCCAAGGAGATGGTACAGCTGGCGGAGCAAGGCTACATGTGCCGGGAGGAGCCCTCAGACCCTGCCTGGCAGGAGATGCTCAACCACGCGACAATGAAGGTCACTATTCATATGTTTAATCTACAGACTGACTTCACTAAAACCACATCAGTGAGGTGTTGAATGATGTGGTGTCAAATTACATTGGTCTATTCATAGGCATTCAAATTTTCGGAAAAATATCACAAATTTTTGAAAATAAAAATATTTCATCCATTTTATACATTAGACAGAGTTACCTCCCTTATGTATATGGGTGGAAATATCATAAATATCTTAAAAAACAGTTCAGTACAAGAATTTGCAAAATAATGAATAACTATTTCCTAGTCACAAACTGGAACAAACAACAGGTGATAACTGTCACAGTACAGGTACTACCTTGACCATTGGTCTGTGTTTGCTGGTAAATGAAACATAGACCATTGGTCTGTGTTTGCTGGTAAATGAGATCTTGACCATTCGTCTGTGTTTGCTGGTGAATTTGATCTTGACCGTTGCTGTTAGCAGGTAAATGAGCTATTGACCATTGGTCTGTGTTTGCTGGTAAATGAGATCTTGACCATTCGTCTGTGTTTGCTGGTGAATTTGATCTTGACCGTTGCTGTTAGCAGGTAAATGAGATATTGACCATTGGTCTGTGTTTGCTGGTGAATGAGATCTTGACCATTGGTCTGTATTTGCAGGTAAATGAAGCGGAGAAGGAGAGGAACGAGAGTGAACTGGAACACATGGTAACGACTGTGAATTTTAACGAGGCCGACACCAAGGTGCAATATCTTCAGAAAGAACTGAAGCGTGCAATCAATAAGTCTAAGTAAGTGGTCTCGAGGATATAATAAAACGTCCAGTATCAATGTATGGATTAAAGAATGTCTTGAAAGGGTTCTTTTTTTTTATTGCACATTTAACATGTTTTTCCACTAACTAGGCTAGATGTATCACACTCATGGTAAATCAGTATTTCATGCTAAACTAACCACAGATTGTTGCTCAACTCTCATAGGAGCTATCATTCTTCGCAATAACTTCCGAGTACTGACCAGTTTTTATGAATAAAAAGAAGTTTGTTGAACATTATATTTTGAATGATTAAGTATGAAAATATAGAAAGATGACAACTATTAGATTGGAAGTGTAAGATCTGACCTTCGTCAATTATTTAAAAAATTAACAAAACCCTGTTTTACTGTCTATTTCATGTCTTTTAAGGGTCAGATTTTATTTGGTAATTTTAGAAAATAACATTCTTTACCATATTTCCTACAGATGTTCAAGTTGATACTGTCACTTTTATCAAATCTGATGTACAAACTTTGTAGTTTCTTGAAAGAAGATATTTTTATCTTAAAAAAAACTGGCCAGACAGATATTAAGATTGACAAACATTTCATGCACTATCACAGTTACACTAACACCAGATATCATTGATGGTCACTTTTGATTTAAAACCTCTTCATTGTTTTCATCTTTTTCATTGTGTTATATCCCGAGATTTATCTCCCTTTTCCATTGTTTTGCCCCAGTATGTCCATTCGCAGGAGTTTCCTACAAATGGGTGACATAGTCAACCGATATGAGTTGTGTTTGTTGTAAGTAAGAAAGCAAGTTTTATCTTAAGCATGCCAGCTATAAATTACGATAGATCCTCAGTGGGCCACGGACTGAACCTCTAGTTATACTGCTGATCCCTCTCGTTTTTACCCTTTGATCTTATGATTATGTATTGGTGATGCAAAATATATTTTAAATCAAATATCCTCCATGTATATCTTGACGGAAATAATTTTGTCATATTCCTTACCTAAATTTATTTGAGATGAATATAGAATATTTAAACTGCAGGATTTTATTTATTTTTATCATAGAATGTAAGCAAGGAACCTTTTGTTTGTATAAAGTTGGCAGGGTGACTGGATGGATGAAATGGGACAAACAGTCAGTTTATAGGGAAGGTTGTGGTCGGGGTTTATAGGGAAAGTGGGAGGTTGGGGTCAGGGTTTATAGGGAAGGTTGGGGTCAGGGTTCATAGGAAAGGTGGAAGGTTGGGGTCAGGGTTCATAGGAAAGGTGGAAGGTTGGGGTAAGGGTTTATAGGGAAGGTGGAAGGTTGGGGTAAGGGTTCATAGGGAAGGTGGAAGGTTGGGGTCGGGGTTTATAGGAAAGGTGGAAGGTTTGGGTCGGGGTTTATAGGAAAGGTGGAAGGTTGGGGTAAGGGTTTATAGGGAAGGTGGAAGGTTGGGGTCAGGGTTTATAGGGAAGGTGGAAGGTTGGGGTCGGGGTTTATAGGGAAGGTTGGGGTAAGGGTTTATAGGGAAGGTGGAAGGTTGGGGTCAGGGTTTATAGGAAAGGTGGAAGGTTGGGGTCGGGGTTTATAGGGAAGGTTGGGGTCGGGGTTTATAGGGAATGTTGGGGTCGGGGTTTATAGTGAATGTTGGGGTCGGGGTTTATAGGGAAGATTGTGGTCGGGGTTTATAGGGAATGTTGAGGTAGGGGATTATAGGGAAGGTTGGGGTCAGGGTTTATAGAGAAGTAGGAAGGTTGGGGTCGGGGTTTATAGGGAATGTTGGGGTCGGGGTTTATAGGGAATGTTGAGGTTGGGGATTATAGGGAAGGTTGGGGTCGGGGTTTATAGGGAATGTTGGGGGCGGGGTTTATAGGGAAGATTGTGGTCGGGGTTTATAGGGAATGTTGAGGTCGGGGTTGATGGATGGGAGGGGACAAGTACAGGAAACCAACAAGACAGAAGCATGTTCATAACAATTTAACTTCAGACTTGAAAATTATAAAGTGTGTCTGTTGGAATGCTTTTCCTCTGTTATTGAATTTATATCAGATATTGTGTTATAACACTTATATCAGATCTTGTGTAATAACATTTATATCAGATCTTGCGTAGTAAGAAATTACATCTAAAGTTGTTTGTATAGTGTACTATACTATTTATTTATTATCTCCCAATCCCTGGAATGCTTTACAATAAATGTGGATTATATTCATAAGAGTCAATGTAGTTATATGTATTCATACCTCAATGTTTGAATCAGAATTTATCATGCTGGACACACTAACAAATCATGCTAGCCAGACTTTGCTTGCATATTATATGCCACTAATTGACCAAAAGTATGGCTTCAAATAAAAGATACTAATTTTGAGTCCTTAAACCTTTGAATTGATGTCACTGTACGTGCAGATAACACTGGTACATGGTAGCATTTGACATGGAATTGTCCTTGTTAGAGAAGTAAACCATACAGACTGATGGGTTGTCTCCCTTTACTAGACCTTGTTATGTACATAGGGACAACAGGTGGTGAGGAGCTTGTACATTTTATTTTTAGTTTCAGTCCATAGTTAGTAAGCTGATTTTGGAAATGGTGACTTCATTTATTTTAAAGACTCCTGCTTTATCTGTTAATAGATCTGTTTTAAATGTGTACCTTGTATCAACATATATTTTCACGTCACAAGGAACAATGTGATAACATCATGCATATATGTGCTGAAAACCAAAGATGGCAGTAATTACTTGGTGTGTTTTCTACCTAATCTGTGATGAAATGTGTCCATTTGCAAATAGTAAATCATGTAAAAAAATCAGAGTTTCAGACTTTTTGCCATACTATGTGCAGATTTCGAAATTTGCTCATTGAAGTCGTAATGGGAACTTGTTTGAGATTCTTTATATAGGTTTTGGTAAACATGACCACGGGAATACGTTGTAAGTGGCCTTCATGAACTGTTAATAGAAATTCTCCCACTTTAATATTATCAACATCTTCATCCTGTCTGCTTTGGTTTAAAGGTTGTCATTTTCTACTTTCCTTTCTTTATTTATTGTGTTTTTATATTGATTTTCCAATCTCATCAATAGGTGACTGTGTTTAGCTACTGTTGGTTTATATGTGGGTCTACACTCTGCTAGTGTTGGTTTTCCTGTTTATTTTTATTTTTCCATGTTTTGTATATATCCTTAATCCTTATAAAAATATTAGTATTTAAATGTTACAATGCAAACACTGTAAGATACTAAAATCATTCTTTCTTTATCAAGAACTTTCTCTATGATATCCCAAAAAATATAGCGACACAGTGAACTATTTATGTTCAAACTTACAATGCAGTATTGCTTCAGAGTGGTTGACATGTGAATATTTATATATGTATTTTCAGTTGATTTAGTTCTTATGAAACTTGCATTCTCTAAATTGCATCTAACATTTGAGGCCACAAACTGATTCATTCACTTTACTGAGCTATTGCATACCAATTAGATGTGACAGGGGTCAAAAGTATAAAAAAAAAAAATCCACTCAAAAACCACTGTCATGATATTTGGCCTGTAGTTGGCTTGAGTAAAGGGCTACCATATTTGTTGAAACAAATGACAGCGACCTAGTTACAAGGACACTATAGTAGAAATATGTATGTCATTGGTAAGAGACATGCCTTAAAGCCCAGAATACATACACCATATCTTCTTCAGGCCCAAACACTCCGACATTTTGAAGGGAAGATTTCTGGTGTGACAATATATATAGATACTGTCAAAATGTCTTGAGTCCAGTGTTGGGGCCAGAAGAGAATTTGGTTACCTACCTTTATGTCTTTTACATTATTAGTCCCCTACCGGGAAACCGGGGGGACTATAGTTTTCCCCTCCGTCTGTCCGTCTGTCCATCTGTCCGAAGAGGTTTGTCAGCACTCTAGAGCCTTCATTCTTTCATGGATTTTAATCAAACTTTACACACATGTAAAGAATTAAAATATCTTCAACAAGTTCGAGTTTCAAGGTCATCGGATCAAGGTCAAGGTCATTATTACTATAAATAGAAAAACTTTGTCAGCACTCTAGCGTCTTCATTCTTTCTTGGTTTTTAATCAAACTTCACACAGTCAAAAACAAAATAAAATATCTTCGACAAATTCGAGTTTCAAGGTCATCGGATCAAGGTCAAGGTCACTGATACTATAAATAGAAAAACTTTGTCAGCACTCTAGCGTCTTCATTCTTTCTTGGTTTTTAATCAAACTTCACACAGTCAAAAACAAAATAAAATATCTTCGACAAATTCGAGTTTCAAGGTCATCGGATCAAGGTCAAGGTCAATATTACTATAAATAAAAAAACTTTGTAAGCACTCTAGCGTCTTCATTCTTTCTTGGTTTTTAATCAAACTTCACACAGTCATAAAGAATTAAAATATCTTCGTCAAGCTCGAGTTTCAAGGTCATCGGATCAAGGTAAAGGTCAGTATTACTATAAATAGAAAATTTTATTTAACATTCTTCCTTGCCTGTTTATCAAACTTCACACACTTGTAAAGATACCTTTACAATCAACAAATAAGTTTTCTTAGTATTTTTATTCCCTTACCGGTGAATCTGGGTGGGGGTGGCAGGGAGGGAGCAGAAAAAAAGAATACCTAAAGTTTTCCTCGCTGTCTGTCTGAAGAAGTTTGTCAGCACTCTTGCGCCTTCATTCTTTCCTAGTTTTTAATCAAACTTCACACACTTGTAAAGATACCTTTACAATCAACAAATAAGTTTTCTTAGTATTTTTATTCCCTTACCGATGAAACTGGGTGGGGGTGGCAGGGAGGGAGCAGAAAAAAAGAATACCTAAAGTTTTCCTCGCTGTCTGTCTGAAGAAGTTTGTCAGCACTCTTGCGCCTTCATTCTTTCCTAGTTTTTAATCAAACTTCATACAGTCAAAAACAAAATAAAATATCTTCGACAAATTCGAGTTTCAAGGTCATCGTATCATGGTCAATGTCACTATTACTATAAATGGAAAATCTTTGTCAGCACTCTAGTGTCTTCATTCTTTCATGGATTTTAGTCAAACTTCACACTATTGTAAAAAAAATCAATATATTGGACAAGTTTAGGTGTCAAGGTCCTCGGATCTAGGTTGAGGTCACTGTTGCACCTTAATAGATTGCGGGGACCGGTAGGGGACATGTATTGCTTCAGCAATACTCAGTATGCTTGTTTAAATCTGTGTCTCGATCCATATATCCTCAGCATACTCAGTGCTTTTTTTGACACAAATGAGTTTCATTAGTATTTTCTTTGATTAGTTGGTTGTACCAGAACTTGGAGTGACAAGAAGAAAATAAACACATTGATATGAATAACACATTGATACCAATATAAATATGACTATTGAAGAAGGATTTTGAAGATTTAAACTTAAAATTCCCCTATTCACAGGGCCCCGCTCCTCTGCACCTGGAGTGGCCACATCCTTGCATAGCGTGCATGGCCTGATGAAGGGAACTGACCCTGGAGCTAACTTTACATAAATCTTCATTTGTATGAACCTGTGATCCTTTTCGTCAGGCCACGCAAGGGTCCAAATAGTCTCAGAACTTAAATGTAGTACATACCAATTTTTCACGGTGATAAACAAAAACTGTAATTAAACTTCAAGGATGAGGCGTTAGTTTAAGAAGATTTCTCCGACGTCAATTTCAAAGTCATAGGGGGCCGCAGTGGGCCAAGTGGTTAAGGCTTCTGATATTCTGCTACCACTAGCCCTCCACCACTTGGTCACGGGTTTAAGACCTATGTGGGGCAGTCGCCAGGTACTGACTGTAGGTCGGTGGTTTTTCTCCGGGAACCCCAGCTTTTCCTCCGCCACCGAAACCTGGCACGTTCTTAAAATACCATAGCTGTTAATAGGACGTATTACACAAACAAACAAACCAAGTACATGCAGCATTAAAAGCTTAACTGGCTGATAGGGTTACTTCTATGTCCTGAAAAAACACAGAATGAAAATATATCTTCTTCACTGAATTTGGCTCTAAAAGCAGAATCCAGATTTCCTAAGGAGTATTATCATTTGGAATGCTATCTTTCACTTCAGACATTTTTTGACTGAAATTCTCTGTGATATTGTGGCAAAATTGTAAGGAATTATGAAAGCACAGAAAAGCAAGTTCTTTGAATATTGAATAATCAAAGTCATTTAATTTTTTTACGTGCTCTACCAAGAGAATATGACAGAAAGTTTGAGAATTGAACTTATATGGAATAATTCCGTTTATAAGATGTGTTTTCTTGTTTGTTTCAGACCATACTTTGAAATGAAAGCAAATTTCAACCAATCAATGGAGGTAAGATTGAGAGAACAATACAAGTTTAACCTCCAGCCGAAAAAGAAGAAAAATGAAAAAAATTGAATGGGCTTTTATTATGTTAATAGTGGTTAAAAACATGTACAATAGGTGTAAATTTCTCTGTCATGCTATGTTATGTTGATGGGAAATACGGTAAAACCTCGCTACACTGCCACTATTTGTTCAGCAAATTGTTGGCATTATAAAGAAGTTCTGCAATATGTAGAGGGAGACATATAAGGTCATAGTAAAGCATAAGGACCTTGACATTCGCTTGTGGTTAACAAGGTGACAAATAAAATGAAGGCCTTCTATATTGGGGTTTTCATAAATCAGAAAAACATCTTATTTTTAAATTGTTACCTATGGGAGTTTGCTTAGAGGGACAATCCCATTGGGAAGGGTGCAGGGGTTGATGAATGTGCACGTCATATAATTTTCTGTAAAACTTGTATTCAAAGAAAACATCTGGTTGCAGGATCTCAAGAGAAAGATCCATACCTTAGAAGGGGATGTAGGTTCAGCTAAATCATCGTACTCCGATGCTCTGAAAAATCTGGAGCTGATCAGTGACGACATTCATCTTCAGCGGCAGGAGAAACGAAAACAGCAGGAGCTCGGTGTCCGGGAGGCGGGAGTAGGCTCCGAATCTCCGTCACCTCCACCCACCCGTGACAAGGGCATGAACTCTGCGGAAGGTCAGGGGTCAAGCCACCTGAGCAGCTGTCAGGGCATGTCCCGGGCAACAAACACTTCTAGTCATGCTCAACATTCAAACTTTAGATCGCACGAGGATATTGACTATACTCTCCCATCTGTCATACATCACAATCTAGATAAATCTCGTAACCCCAGCTACAGGGAAGCCATAGAGAGGCGTATCAGTCAGACAGAGGGTGGCGGAGACGATTTTCCCGCGCCGACGTTTGATGAGGAATATAGAGCACTGCCAAATAGTCGACCAACACAGGGTCAACATGCCACACACACGCCAATGCGGCGGAGTTTGTCACGAGAATCTAGTTTACCCAAAGACTTCACTAGCTCTCTGTTATCGTCTTCCCCAAGTGATTACGCAGACAGACCAGACCTGTCACAAGGTCAACGAGCGCGATCTCAATCCTCGCCCACAGGGAGGCGACGGAAACTCCAAGGCGGCCTGATATTGAAGATCGATGCTGGCATGGATCCTTTAACTCAACGATATCAGGCAACGGAAATTCAACCAACTAGAAGAGGTCAGAGACGAAGACTGTCAAAAGACCAATCAAAAATTCAAAGGAGTGTTGAATTTCCAAAGCATAATCCGTTTGGTAGTCCAACAGAGAAAACTTGGAGGGAGAACTCTATGTCGAACTCGCCAAGTCGTCAGGGGTCATTCCTCGCCCCTGGTAACGCAGACGGGGAGGACTGGTCAGACACTGAAAGCATTGCCAGCACTGGACCAATGCTGGACGATGACCAGGTGGAGCTCCTGACCCTCGAGTTTTCTGATCAAGCTTCGACAGATGATAACAGCCCGACTTTTAAAAGGCAGGAGTGGAACCGTATGAGTTTACCCCCCAGACTGAGTCACCTTGAGCAATACATTCATGCCCCCGTGGAAAAGGGGGAAAACACTGTCATAGAATCTCTTACAAACGGTGAGGTGTCCTTGTCGACCACTCTGACAAACGACAACGATGCGGAGACGGAATCCAATAAGACCCTGCCCTTGACTAGTCCAGAAGTTGACACTCAGATAGATGTTCAGCAAAATGATACTCAGTTGCAATGTTCTCAGCCAGTAGTTTCACCAGAGGAGATTGAAACGGTTTGATTCACAATATTACTTTGGATTAAGTACATGTATCACATCGTGGTAGCTAGAGTTAGCTCAAACATAAGAGGTGATAATGTGCCTGCATAAAATTGATCTGGAACGTTGGCATATAATTATGTTCAGTTAACTCCGTAACCATTTTGGGTTCAACTTATAGTCTTCTGCAACTCAATAAGCCCACACCACTCCTTTCTTTTATTTAATACCAAGTTCAGGTAAATTAAACATATAGAGATCTCCAGATACTGTGCGGCTGAAAGTTGCAAAAGAGATATAGGTATAAAAAAATTGGACGGCTTGAATGCATTACCATCAGTTATATGAGTAAGGCTGATAACGTTAGTGCTGTTTTCTACCAAAACTGTTCTTGTAAAATAATCCGTTAAGTGGTACACCTATGTAGTTTTAATGTGAAACTCACTGTAATTACTTTAATTTATATATACGATTTGTTCATTTTGGTAATGTTATTGTTAATTATCAACCAGTAATAATTTCAGTATTTTGGCATGTTCTTTTGATAATATTTAGCGCAGTATTTTTTTTCTCCATTATTTTAATGAATTTGAGGTTTTTCATATATCACATCTTGCAAGATTTTTTTACCAAACTATACCAACTCAATTGGAAACCTTAACCCTCATACAGACCCATATTTATTTTAGATCTCTATTAATACATTTGTTGCGATCTCAATATATTGAAAATTAACTGAATTTATTGGAAATATTGATCTGTTCGGAAAGATAAGTTTGTTTGTCAGAGAAGTGTTCAGATTAGATTGGAATTCCTTCGTAGCCTTCACATTTAACTATAGTGCTGGAAGAAAGTTGGAAATAGTTCACTATATGATTTAAGAATAGTGCTAGAAATTTGACAGCTGAAATGTTTTGCTGATGTCGTTTTGATTGAGTTGTGGGGAAACATTTCAATTTAATTTATTTTTTGCAATTTATTAGATCATTAGATCTCTTTATAGAAGACCATTTAAAGGAGTACCTGGTAATTAAGCCTATGTAACAGACAAGTGGTTTCTATGGCAGGTTGATTATGGTACAGGATTTTTCGTTGAATTGGATTGAAATCAGGACTAAATACAGGGTGTGACCATGATTTTTAAAACAGGGTATGTATGTAGTGATTGTTATGAACTACTGTTTGGAGGAGGATTCTTTTCTGCGTAGTGTCGACTAGCAGGCCTATTTTATGCATAGGTTTACATGTACAGATGTATGATGTATAAGTACAGTCATGTATATAACCGGTATAATTGTACTGTGTACAGGAATCTGTAGATTTGTTTGATGTACCGGTACGTGTAATTAGTATACGAGTATACATGTATTATATACATGTTATGCACTATGGTACTGTGCCGTATAATATAAAAAATTGAGTCAATAATTTTCATAATTTTTTTTTTTTAGCTGACCTTAAAAACATGAAGAAGTATTACACTAAAACATATGTCTGTTAGATATTGATGTACTATAATATAAAGAAAGTATGATGAAAAATACCCATACTTTAAAATCACATGGTGCCATCTAGTAAAATCTTGGAGAGGAAAGTTGAGATTTATGTATACCGTATATGTATTATTCTTATATTTAAACATTAATGGTGTTCTGTTTCAAACTTCACAGTTATTTTGTTTTTATGTATTTTCAATATTTCTGATTATAATCTGATTTACGGTATACGTTACAGATATGCTATATTCATTCGGCATTTCTATTAATCATTTTCATCATTGAATTGTGGTTATAGGCGAACGGTGTCAAATGGTTTGAAACAGTTCGGTATTTTGCATCAAGTATTTTGATAATTTCTTACCTATTGCTTATACATCTAGTATAATTATTTTTGCAATTATTTTTTCAAACAGCATATACCTGGTAAATGAATTTTAATGTGAATTTGCAAAAGGAAAAAATACTGTATTCTGTATGTTTGGTTGAATTAGTGATGTCATTTTTGCCAATATCACCTTTTAATGGGTAAGTTTTAATCTAAATTAAATTACAATAAATTAAATTAGATAAAAAAAACAACATGCTAAAATCTGTCATTGGTTTAATGTGTTCAGAAATTTCCATCTTCACTCTGAAATGTACTTGTACTATGAAAAGTAAAAAAAACTAAACCACCACAAACACTACAAAGTACATGATGTCCCCTGTTTGTAGGGACAAATATTTACAATGTGTTTGAATTCTCAGAAATCGCAGAATACAGGCGATTCATTGTATACGGTTATTTTGAATGTCATAAACAACATACGTTTATTTCACTGCGTTTTGATGAAATTGTGTACAGAATGTGTTTACATACATATGTATTGGACATACAAATCCTTGGAAGGTACGAACCATAAAGAAAAAATCCACTGCATGTTAATTAAAGCGTTTCATGTTTGATAAAATTGTTGTACTGTAAAAGTTGGAATTTTCATATTTCAACACTGTATATGGTGTACTGTGGAATTTTTACACTTTAAATTATTTTTCCTTTTTTTTGCCTTGGCAATGCCATTACAATGTATATTATGTAGTGTGTCAATACGTTTCATCTACATTTCTTTATGCTGACTAATGTTAAAGTGCACAATTTGTCAACATTTCCTCAGCCCAGTCCTACATGCACGTTAATTTAAAACAGTATTTGATATAGTTCACGGCTGTCTCAAACCAGTTTAAGGGCATATTGCTTAATTACATGTATTTGTATAACTTTTCCTGTGGAAGATTTTCTGTGAGATTGGAAAAAATATAATAAGCAATACTATATTACTATTTTTTCATTCATTTCTTACTACCAGTGTGATATTTAAAGTTGAGTTTATTCAACGAGATCGTGTTGGTCTACAGAATCCAGTTTTTACTTCTTTTCTGTTCTCATTTTGATGATAAATCCTTCGTTTACCTGTTAGCACATTTTTGTGATCGTTGATTGTTTACAAGATCTGTCAGATGTTAACAAAATACAGTTGTAGAACCCTCAACATTCTATTTACCCTGTCATGTTAAGCATTTAGTCCTTATGATATACATGTTAACTTGAGTTACAACAAAGCTTCCTCCGAAAAAAAGATAGCTTCTCAGAAATTAACATTGGATAGAAATAAAATTATTCACTGTGATATTGAATGTGGATACATGTTTATTTATTCTTTTTTTTCTTTGTTGAATATTTAATATGTAAAATTTTGTGTTCAGCAATGCCTTGTGCAATGTGTGTATCGTATAAACCTGAGGTGTGTGACGGTACTTGCACGTACATTTAGACAGAAATTTTGGTTGTACAAGACTTTTGAGCGAGTTTACGTTATTTCTGGACAACTTTTCCACTGTGTGCTAATTCACATAATTATTTCCAAGTGATTGGGATTTAATCAGTATTAATTGTTTTTATTTTTTGTCTCATTATCTGGCTGTGTATTAGATTTGAATTAGTTAATATAGATGTGTTTGCATAGAAAATGAAGACCTTGTAATGTTATGTATTTCTGCTGTAATTGTACGACAGAATCGAATAAGGGCATGAAAATTTACCGAGTTTTTTAGTTACCCTGTGTCACACATAATTACACTAGTTTGTATAACTATAAAGTCCATGCTTCTTTAGTAAGATGACAATTCCTATTAACTGATCCGTGTAATCTTAATTATCATGATTTTTGGATTTTTTTTCATGAAAATTACATATATTTTTAAGGATCACATTTCACTTCGCTGCGATATTTGGTGCAAGTTGTTTTCCATATTTGCCTGTACTTGAGATGTTGATATCTGGGGTATAATAGTCCTAAGTTTAAAGTGATCATAAGTTCAAAATGATTAATTCAAGTTTCAGTTCAGTCATTCAAGATCAAAACTAGTTTAATTTCTTTTAATTGATCTGTGATCCCAAAGGCAGTTGTAGTTAGATTTATGATTTGAGGTGCAATATTGTCCCATCACAGAAAAGACTAGACATTTACAATTGCAAATTCTGTCATTATTATTTTATCGCTGTGGGCAATAATTTAGGATTAAGGGACGTGTTATCCAAGATTTAAAATCTGATTTCGTAGACAATTAATATGGAATTGATTGACATGTAAGTGGAGAAATGATAAGTTTTTACGAGGATTATCGAAGATTCACTGTACATGTACTAGGTTTTAAATCACGAGAGATTTGAACTAACTCAACAAATGGCTATTAGCTAAAAATGGTTTCTGGAAGAAAGTTCCTTAAATTGCACCATATCTGTGATCTTCTGTCTTCCGTGACCAACCTAAAATAAAATGTGGTGTGTTCTTCACACGTGTTCAATACCAGATGGAGTTGCACATTGTTGTCTGAAATTGAAAAAGTTGAATGTTCTGTTTCTGAAAGCTGTGGTTTTTATTGGGTTGGATTTTTTTTTTACAAAGCACACGAATAACACCTTGTATTTTGAACTTTTTTTCTGCACAACTGATAACATTTCATTGTATTAACTGGTGCATAATACATTTTCTAATTTCCGTAAGATTAACATTATATTTTTTACAACCAAAGCTTTAGTTTGTGTTTAAATAACAACTAGTGCTATTTACAATGTATTCCTCGTGTATTTTCTTCATAATACTGATTCATGTTACTGTGGTGGGGGGAAAAAAGTCAAAAATAGGAAGTTAAAAACCATTTCCGATGTGGGAGTTTTTCCACTCCAACATGTACATGTTTGTTGGTGCTTAATTAAAGATATTGAACAAGGAGAAAAGGTAAAATTCAAGGAAATCTTTTTTTTTGGGGGGGGGGGGGGGGGGGGGATTCCTGGTACCAGTATATATAAAGTTCTCTAATTTTTTTATTACTTTTTTGAGTGCTGATCTTTTTAATAAAATAGGTCTTTTTTGCACAAAAACGAAACCATTGCTTGATCAGATTATTTACAGGAAACCTTAATACTGCGTTAAGTAACTGGAGATTGAAACCGTCTTCACGTTGTCCAAGTTGTAGTTTTAGTATCAATATACAGTTTGATAATGAGATGCAGTTTATATTTTACATATGTAGTGCTTACATAGTAAACATTAGCTTTAGCAGGGAAGTAGGATAAATAGTGCTACCACTGGATGATGGTGTGAAAGTTTGCGTCTTTAGAATGATTATGTATGATCGACAGAGAATACCTGGTATTAAGAATAGACATAACTTTAGAAAGTCACTATGTGGTTTGCTAAAGGATTAGCATCAATTTTAAACATTTTTTTTCTGAACGTGTGAACTATCGTTTAAAAGTTACTGCAACTTAGAATCTATTTATTTTCAGGAAGTTTCTCAGTTTGATAAATTTTGCTTAAATCTGTGTCGCATCGTCTGTCTAACAAGTGTGCTGCATGCACAGAAAGTTTGCTTTCTATAATTTATGTATTTAAAGATTCTCATTTGTTGTAAGAGTTGAAAGGGGAAATAGTGTTCATGGCCTTTGATGAATAGTATTTGAGTCACTTCCCATGGTACAGAACTCTCTGGTATCTTAATTGTTGTTTAATCTTGAGCGATGTCTATCAACAATCTTAGGTCAATAGAGTGAATAAATTCTATTGAAAGAAAAACATTTTAGGTGTAAATCTCTTAATTTAGATCTGCGGAAACTCAGGTTCAAAGCCACAAATAACCGTTAATTTCTTGATCTGCAATCCATTGCCAGTCTGGTTTTATTTGCCATCATCTTACAATGAAAACTTTGAAATCAAAACCAAATTATCATCTTTCTAATCAAAACTTCAGATACATTCAAAATACTGTTATTATAATTTTTGTTGATTAATCTTTGAATCTCCTGTTTTGATTATTTGCTTTGCATGGTAAACACATAAGTATTATAACTGTGTTTTCTATTATTAACTCATTCTCCCCTGAAGACACATTTGAACTTTTCCAATTCTAAGGTTGGAATAGTTTTATTTTGAAACTTCAGGGGTGAATGAATGAATTGTTTTGTATTGGTGCATAGAGTTTAATCCGCTATCACCTGTTCTGGTGTAACTATTATTCTCATGTCAGTGTTAATAGATCTGAGAGTGTCGGCCAGTTATTCCATGAATAAGCTATATGTATAGGTTGTATCAAGATCGCAAAATGTATTTGTTTGAAAAAATTTATAATTAATTTTTACAAACACGAATGATAGTTGTGTTTCCTTCATAAATATATTAACTGTTAATGTCAATTACAGTATAACTCAGTTATTTCAAACCTTAAAGAGTTCCCTACCACAAAAAAAACAAATAAATACTCCTCTAAAAGTTGACATTTCTAGTTAGGAACCACCTATGTGCTTTCTAAACACTATTTCCTACACCAAGAAAACCCATATGATCAACTTCCTGTTCACTGGGGCGTCTTGGTATAGGAAATAATTTTTTTTAAATTGCATGTTGATAGTTTTAAACTGATTCATTGTTAACTTAAGTCTGGCACTCTTTCTTTAGGGAGGTACATGTCACATTCGATGTAACAAACATTCTTGAGCAGTTTTAAATGGTATAAACAATCATATCTGTAGAAATCTTTATGGGGTGGGCTACATGTTTTACACATTGGATAGGGCCGTACACAATGCCAAGGTCACTCCAAGGTCAAGGTCAAGGCAGAAGGTGTTCCAATTAAAAGATGTGAATGACCTTCCCATGTCCAGGTCACGGTAGAATTTTTTAGATGGGATAACGAGAATCTGTTGAATAGTGAATGCTGGACGGGTATTATTATCCAGAAGTATAACTGTTAGTGTTTGTCAAATGTCAATATCAAGATCTGAAAGTAATAAAAATGATTAGTTGTTATATTGTTTAAGTGTTTTGGTTGTTTTTAAGAACGAAGGAGTTACTGGACGAGTGATTAACAGACGTTTGTCTGAGGCAAGGAACGTATTTCACTGAAGTCCTGGCTGAGATAATAGCAACATGAATACCAGTATATGGTTCTATTTTCAAACAAAAGAAAAATAATAATAAAATTATTAATAATGAGAGGTTCTTATATATCGCTTTATCACAACCTAGTTAATAGGTTGTCTCAAAACATTTCACAAATTATTATGTAAAGGATAATGTCCTCAAGCTGTCTATTCTTTGAAATAATTGACTGGACGAGGCTGTAGGCCGAGTCCATTCCATTATTTCAAAGAATAGACAGCTTGAGGACTTTATCGTACTTAAAACCTAGCACACTCCTAGCCTTCTTACCCTTTATCAGAAATAGCACATGCCCATGCAGTAATAGAAATGTGTTCAGCCACCCGTGACACATAATGGACAGTCAGGTTGACACTCCTTCACTCCGAGTGTTCAGTATTCATTATACACTAGATGAGCCAACATCATGTCAGACAGCGACCATGATTTGTTCCTCACACAATCTTCATTTAGAGATGTGTCTTGCTGTGAAGCTGATACTGATGAAGTTCTTAGTGGAGTAATTGACATGGAGAAAGAATACGCGCCCTGTTTTAACATTAAGAATGACTTATTTTCTGACATTTCGTCTGATGATGATTTGTTAGTACAAGCATCTATGCTTTGTAGTACATCATAGTATATCCTTACCGTAAAGTTTTGAATGAGGTTATTGACTGTAGTCTCTATGGAAGCAGAAAGTCCAAACTATAGGACGTACATGTATATAGTGAACTGTGAAACTGGAAATGCTATGCTGCAATGGAATTTAGAAAGGTGACAAGAGTCTTTAGATTCTTTTTCTGTTAGAATGTTCACGATAAGACATGTTTGGTTTAATATTAAAATGTTTACTTTTCATTTCTGTGTTTTGGAGTTTTGTTTCTGCGCTGACTGTCCATTATTGGAAAAAACAATGGACTGTCCCGTTAAATAATGGACTCCTAGGTGTCCATTATGCAATATAATGGACCAATACAACAATAGATGACTTCACAGCTGGGTTTTAATCATGGTTATAGGGCCTTTGCAACCAGCCAATATCTTTCTCAACTCACAGGGGAGCATACAGCCGGTGCTGCCATTTCAGCACTCACAGCTAGCATTCAACAATTCTAGCACTACCCAACCACATACTCATTTACAGCTGAATAGATTGGAAACAAGCGCAAAACACAGTGCCATGTTGTGACGTGACTCCAACCCACAAGTCCGGCGGTCTACCACTAGACTACCGTCCCTCCTTAAAACAGAAGTGAAGCAAGTCGCATGTAACACGAAATTCTTTTCTGGTGATTTGATAACAAACCAAACAACTAGATTCTATTTAAGCCAAATGTCTCATTTGATTTGACTGATTTATCAAATAGTTGAAAGACCAAATTCAAATGCTGATTGTTTGGAATGCACATGTCAGATACATCACCTCTTCAAGACCATTAATCAATTATTTTTTGAATGTTAAAAGTGTAAGGATAAATATCACATGTACTTATGTAAAACGTTTTGTGTACAGAGAGAAAATAAATATGGAAATATTAAAGTTCCGTAATAGAAAGCTAGATCTGTGTTTACAGCTCGCCTAACACGAAGAGTCATTGAAGCCTAGGCATTCGTGCCATCCAAACCCCCTTTTTTTTACTTAATTAAGAAGCCTACTCCTCTTGAACGTATGATCAATTTTAACCAAATTGAGTCTGATGCATCATTCTGATTCATGATCACGGATCCAAGAAACTATTAGAATGAAAACAATCTCTGACGAAAAAAACCCAAATCACGTTATTATTTATTGAATTTACTTTTATGTACACATATTTACATTTCCACTGCAAATTCCTCTTTAGCATTACGAGAAGAAAATGCGTTCATAGAGCTATGGACGCAATTTGATCAGCGTCATTTTGAAGCTTCTCCTCCCGCCTCGAATAATATATAAAAAAAAACACACACTTTTTAGAAGCAAACATTTTGGTGACGTTAGGCTGTTCCAGGAATCTCGTTTGCGCTGACGACACAGACACTACAATATCGAGAATATAAGGGAATGTCTATACTAAGGTCAATAATAACTAAACAATAGGGGTGTAAATATGAAGATTGAACGGGTTTATTTCAAAGTCCATGGCGATATGAACGCAAATCGGTTACATACATATTTACCATGATATGGACTAGCGGACTTCATGGAATATGTATGTAACCGATTTGCATTCATACCAGCATGAAATTGAAGAATAATGTCGTTCAAATCAAATACAAACGTTTTAATCACTATTTTGCAAATACTATTATAAATTCAATTCGTTTGTCATGCATACAACTTTGGCATGAATAATTTTGTGAACCTTTCCAAAATTCCCACTAGAACCTCGTGTACAATTACAGAGTTTAAAACAGAATTCCCCATTACATTTAAATGTACTTTAGATTATTGTAATAATGCTGTTTAGAATCAATGATGTACGTTTGCCCAAGCTTTTATTACATTTCCAGGTCGAATTTCTATACACATTTGAAAAAAAATACACATCAATATTTCACAGAGCACACACTGTGAAGACCTCCACCTCGAAGCAGAGCAGAAGTTGAGTAGTCTATGACAACCGGGAAATATTGAATATTCTAAAATGGGTTTTATACGACCTTTGTGAGTGTTTGCTTATTGAAGCCTGACAATTGTACCACTACACAGTGCCCGGAGACAATCAATACACAGGACGCGACACATATACTGTTGGTACAGAGACATCGGGCGACGGTACAGCTTACCTGGGGAAACATCAATATGTTGTGGACATATGGTCCCACGCCATGATATTTCAGATCCGTTCCAATGTTTTTCTTTGACTAGTTAAGTGGATTTTATTTTCGGGCCTATCACACGCGTGCATTTAATATCAAATATATATTTATTGTCATTCTACATCCGGGGCATCATTTTCCAGTTCTAGTATTTCAAGTTTGTTGACACTGTTTCAGAGCATCACCGTTACGTGTCTGTGACAGTATAGTATTGATTGAAATCAAGTTGTGTTTGGTTCTAAACAGGATGATTAGACATTGTCCATAAATAAATATATAAAACGTCATTTCGATGATTTCAATCATCGTCTTAAGTCCGCGTCAAAATTAAGTGTAAATCTGTGTCATTTGAGCTGCTTGCTTCAATCATTTTGGCCAAATAAATATTGGAAATCCGTGTTACATACACTGCATTGAGACATAAGAGAATATTATTCCCATCCTCTGGTTTTCTCCGGGTACTCCGGTTTCCTCCCACACTAAAGACCCCCACTCTCGCTAACATCCGGGCCAACAAGAGTGATTAATACAATTTGAATTAACTTGTTTTATAATTGTTGTTAAATAAATAAAGTTTATATTTTTAACTGTATTTGTGTATTTTCCCGCAAAATTACGAAATGATTCCATATTTAGACCCATGATTCACACCTTCAGTCTGAACGTGTTTCGATTCATTTAACAATAGTTTGATGGGGGTCTGCCAAAAACAAAAACAATGTTTTTCTTAAAATAATTTATTTCTCAAATCAAGTAATCGGTAAATCATATTAAGTCGTTTGCTTTGCACGATACTGTATTGTTTGACCTCAAGAAACGATTTTCTAAAGCAGAACATAGATGATAATCTTAGCTAAGCATTCCTCTGTTTTTAGAATCTTTCTCAATTCAGAATGTGGTATGTCTGTGTTTATGAAAAATTCTCTTTTTTTTTTTTTTTAAATCGGATCTCAATCTATGAATTTATTTAAAAAAAAAAAATCAGATTAAAGTTTGACTGTTGCCTTTTGTAGAGATGTTCACAAAATATACTGCGTTTATATAAAACTGTTTTATTCCGTGTAGGTACTTGTGCCTCACCTTGCCTGTCATTGTGATGTTGGTAGTGAAGATGCGCATGCGTATCATTACATTTTTTGTCTGTGTACACTTTTCTAATCCTCGAATAAGATGCTCTTTTAAACATTGGTATTCAACCAGTACTCTTATATGGGGAGATGCAAATCTTCCGTTCCAAACAAATGTCAACATCATACTTGCTGTACAATCACTTATAAAATCAACGAAGAGGTTTGAAACCAACCAGTGGACAACTATTGCAACCAGAACATTTCCCCTCCTGTCCCTTCTTTCACCTTTTCCCTCACTCCTTCCCTTTCTCCTTGCTGTTTTCGTGTCAAGTAGTAGATTGTCTGAACATTTTTTATCACGTTTTATATCTTTAGTTACTGTGTGTTGTATTGTCGGGAGAGGGCATAGTAAGTTGTCAGAACTTGTGCCCAATCCCTTTGATTGTTTTTCCATCAATAAAATATGTTGAATGACAGAACTGTTTCTTTCATAAAGTGACATACAGGGGAATAGTGGATGGGTACGGGCGTCTGACCTTCCACGATCACTAGCACTCCACCACTGGGTCGCGGGTCCGAAGCCTACGTTTGGCAGTCGTCAGGTACTTTCCGCAGGTCTGTGTTTTTCTCTGGGTACTCCGGCTTTCCTCCACAACCACCAAACAAACCAAACCAAACCAAACATCCCCATTATCTGAACTGAGTGGCTAGCATCCCTGGTGTTCAGCCAGTCGATGTCTGGACGCGTTGATTCCTGAAAATTTCCGGAATAACGAGTGGAAACAAGAAATACCGGTGAATGCAAGTTACTAGATTACAGGTGTCCAGATCAATAAGAATCCCGAGAAGCGGGATACCGGATTGATGAGGTTGTACTCTAAAACCATGCAAGAGAATGTTCCGTAATTAACTAGCATTTTGTGTATAAATTCAAAAGCGAAAACTCGAAACACACGTTAAGTTTAACAAACACTTTATTACATAAACAGCAGTTAAATTAACATCATTAGCCCAATTCCATTTTAGTCCAAAAACTTCTGAGTATAACACGGGGCACGACTGGGCAGGTCTGAACCCAAATGTTGAGCACACAAAGTAGCTGGAAATATCGAAGAATAGATTCGTGTAAATTCGTGCAATTCGACGCGTGAAATGATGCAGTTCCATGGTTAAATCAATAAAGAAATTGTCTGTGGTCGATGATCAGCAAAATATATTTGTTATTTCATAGCCACATTGTTTGGGTCTGGTATTCCCAGTTTGCTACACCACCTGAAAAGTATCAACTAAGCCAAATGAACATACTTCGCTGATCTTCAACCACAAATAATTTCTTTAAACGAACTTCAAATTTCCGTAGTTTTATACCGGCATCGCAGACACTATACTTTGATAGTAACCGGAGACGACGAAAATTTTGTGCTCAACATTTGGCAAAGCAGACTGCTCATCCAAGCCGTGTATAATGTGTATCATGCAACAGCAACGAGTGAAAAACATAGACACTTTTACATATAAAATGTTTATAAAGAATTCATCTATTCGCTTGAATAATTTTGATTTATAAAAGAAATAGTCGAAAAAATAACAATGTATGTTTTCTTACAGCTTTGAAAAAAAAATCAAAATTTGGTCTACTGTCAAGTAACAACACAATAAGTCAACAATAATACCTGTTTTAACTTTCAAATCGCCTTATGTCGAAGTCTTACATGCAAACATATTTCGAAATAAAGAGTTTTTTTTCTAAATATTGGGACTAAAAACAGCGATTACCCTTCTATTAAGGGACTAGATACCGACTTCGCTTAAACTGGCTGATAGACAGTCGATCTCGTGATAACGAAGTTCGACTTAGTAATATAAGAAAGACACAAGATATATATAACTCTTGCACACACAAATTCAATGCATATCAATCGCGATAAATATTACAATAACAAGTGTGAATGTAAAACCGTCTCTTGTGTGTTTTGAAACAGTAATAATTTGTTTTGCAGTGCAAATATATTTTTCGTTTTAAAGATACTTAGACATATAAAAATAATTCAGCTTTGTACCCCCACCCACTCCACCAAACTGGGTAATTGTAGTGTCCGTATTAGAGCTGTTTTGCCGAGTAACATGAATCACCAAATGTTGACTCCGCCAGCAAAACGGTCGACTAGAGTATAATATAGACTATATATAAATACCGACAGATCTAAAATCAAACCTTATTGTATAATATCACAGAAGCATCGAACTTCATCATTTCCACAAAACTACATTTTCTCTATCAGTAAACACAAACACAATATTTACTATAGCTAAAATTCTGAAGTTTTTATCAATTGAAAGCTGAACAGCTCATCAGTACGTAATTGCGCCGTGAAAAAATATCAGTACGAACATATTATGACATTCCGTATAGTATTACAGTAGACCAAATAAACAGTAGTCACAGCAATGTTATAGTATTGATTGTATCATGTAAGTACATATATTCATTAATTCAAAACACTCAACCCTTTCATATTTAATTTACTTAAAAATACCTCCCCCCCCCCCCCCCCTGATAAAATAAAATAAAATAAAATAAGATACACGTGTAATATATACCATTGTGACGTCAAAATGATAAGGTAAACGAAAACAATACAGTGTTTTCCCTTGATTTTTCCACTCTAAATATTAACAAAGGGTGCAATTGTAATGATTTTGGTAAAATATATCATAAAATAATCTCTCAAAGTTTTTTCTCATAATAAAAATCACAATTCTAGCGTCACGTTTGAGATCATGTACACAACTATTTCTATGATAAAATATTAATACATTTACAAGTACCACTTATATATCTATAATATATTCATCTTATAAACAGTTATATCTCATATTTCATTTTATTACAGGACTGCTCCAGATACTGTATAAATAATCAAATTTTTTTATGATCGCACACACGTCTAAGTAGATAATGTTATTTAAGCAAATTGCGTAATTGTTTGATACGATCACAACAAACCACCACCATTATGACGTCATCATATAATACTGCAGTTTTGTCACGCTAGAACTAGAAAGTACTAGAGTGTACTGACTTCTATAACACTGTAGACTTGTCTTCTTTGATATGTAATGTTTGAAACATGTCAAACTAAATTTCTGTTCCAATTTTTTTTAGCCATTACTCTGCCCATTTATGGCCATTCTGCAGACTTTTACATAAACGTATTACTAAAATCCACACTGTAATACACTTTGTAACATGCTAATACAATGTCAGTCATACAATTTACATAAGAACGAATTTCTGTCACTTTCATTTACGACGTAATATCCAATCGAGTTACCGTGAAAATAGCAATCTCACAAAAGGTAAGTGGATTTCATTATCCACCTTTAAATATTACACCATTTCCAAAGCAAATAATCACAAATTTAATCCTGTTACTTAGACCATTGTTTGTATCACACATATAAGTAATTGTTTGTTTTTGACATCATCGCGAACACAACAAATTGAAGTTTGACCGTATATCACAACGGCAGGGCGACGTCATTTGATCGTAAATACTAGTTTATGTTCATCCAATGATACATCAGTGAGGAAAACTGACCAACCGTCACTTGAAGAGTCAGCTTCATATTTACAGAGAAATTATCGTTTTAAATTGACACGTGCAGTCAACAACTAGTGCATAATTTCAGAAGAATTCCTGGCACTGATCAAAATATTTAAAATCGGGCAAAACCAGATAGCTGATAGCTTTGCTGTTGAATTCATTCATCTATAACACCTGTCATCTACCGACATCACAGCTTCAAGCATATTCAACGCTGATTGGGTAGCCCATTCCCCCGAACCTACGACGACAGAGTCTATAATTTAGAAATACACATGCAGTTAACACGATCTCCTAAACTCATGACGTCAGAAACGCATTAAGATCTTTCTGAAAGTCTGGATCGTTCATTTTGTCAAGATATTTCTTGTCTACCTCTGGTGCCTCAGCCTCTCCGCCGTTCCCAGACAGGTTTTTGAGGTTAAAGTCTGTTAATTTGTCCAGTTGTGCTATCATATTTTCCATATCATCTTTGCCTTTGGATTTTTTAGGCGGCGCTTTCTCTTTCTTTGGTTTAGGTGTCTGTTGCATGCTTGTTGAAGGAGGAGGTGAACCCACATCACTCGGGGATTTACCCGATAAAGATTCAGGTAAATCATTTTCCTTTTTATCCGACGGTGGACGTTTTGACGGAGGGCGGGACCGAGAAGGTGCAGCTTCTGCAGCAGCCGCGACAGCCGCCTTCACTGGACCAGCGGGAGAGTCTGCCTTGTCAGGTTTTGCTGCCGGCGGTGGGGCTGGAGAAGGTTTAGGTGTCTTGCTTTTTCTTGGGCTTTCTTTTGGAGATGATCGCCTGGGATCCGGAGAATCTGGTGGTGTTGGCGACCTGTTTTTGGGACTAGACCGTCTGCTCGACTTTCTTGATTCTCTTTCTGGTGACCTATTGTTAGCAGATGCAGCAACTGCAGTTGCTGCTGATACGGCTATATCTGGTGACCGTGTTTTAGCTGGACGTGCAGCCGGGGGTGGTTTTGGTGTTTTACTCTTTCGCTCTGGTGTTCGAGATCGACTTTTAGGGGTTGGTGATCGAATTTTCTTTGGACTAGATCGCCTACTTGACTTTCTTGATTGTCGTTCCGGGGTTCGAGATCGACTTTTAGGGGTTGGTGATCGATTTTTCTTTGGACTAGATCGCCTACTTGACTTTCTTGATTGTCGTTCCGGGGTTCGAGATCTACTTTTCTTCGGACTCGACCGTCTACTAGACCGCGTAGGAGTTGGACTCTTCCGTCGTTTTTTCTCCGGCGTCCTCGAGCGATCTCTTCTTGATGATGGAGCAGCAACCAACGTAACACTTAAACTACGAGATCTTGACCTTGAACGTGACCGGGACTTCTTTCGTGACCTTGAATGAGACCTATGATGCCTGCTCTTAGACCTGCTCCTTGACTTACGTTTTGGAGTCCTTGAACGAGATCTCGGCCTTGATCGTTCAGTGGGAGCAGCAACTACCACTACTTTCGATCGTGAATGTGACCTTTTTCGTGATCGTGACCTTGACGGACTCTTATGTTTATTTTTAGAACGACCTCTGGAGGGACTTCTTCTTCTGTCATGAGAGCGAGAGCGACTTTTTCTGCCTCGCGAATTACTCTGTGCCATGACGACATGCACATCTCGTGATCTTGATCGAGATTTTCGCCGTCTTGATCTTGACCTTGACCTCGATCTTGACCGTGATCTCCTTCTAGGGGACCTAGTGCGACTTCTTGACCTCGACTTGTCACGAACATTGTGAATAATGACGTTCTTATTTCGCGATCTGGATCTGGATCTTGATTTTGACCTTCGGGATCTACTATGAGACCTTCTCCGTTTATCATCAACAGGTTTTCTCCTTTCCCGGGAATCAGAACTGTGATGTCGTACGTGGTTTATCACGTGCACGTCTACGTTACTTCGTCGTCTAGAATGTGACCTTGATCTCCTTCTTGGACTTGGCGACCTTGATTTTCGCCTCCTTTCTGTGTGAGCTGGAGGTGGAGTGTTACTCTTCAACCTCTCATTTCCGACAACCATCACACCAACTCCAACATCCGGGTCAAAATTACTTGTGTCACGAGGTGGTGTTATGCCATCACGTGACTGATCGTCATAGTCCCGTTGTATCGAACCCTGTGATTTTATTGGGGGAAGGACGGTGCGTGGTTGCTGTTTCTGTTCCGACGACTGGGATCGTCTTCGGGATGACTTCGGGGTCATTGACCTGATCGGTGGTAAGGGTGGTGTTGATGAAACTGAGTGTCTAGAATCTGTTCTTGTTGGCTTTCTCTGAAATACAAACGGAAAACGGTTATATTTTACGTGTTAATATTCTGTTTTGAATTGCCAAGAATGACGTCCCCTAGTAACTAATACAACTTAATTACACCGGAAGAGACCTACCATAAGACGCATACATCAATGTCTGCCTGTGGACATAGCAATGTACGATTTTCCCTTAACGTTGTGTAATTCTCATTATTTCTACGTCAGAAGAATTTCTGACAATAGCTATGACGTCATGTCATTATGGTGTCTCATAAAACAATATATATATCATTGAATATTGCTAAATGAAAAACTTTATCATGGTAAGAGAAAAACAGATCACCTTTCAAATATTCACAAACATATTTAGGAGTGATATAAAAGAGATGAATTTTAAATTTGGTTTCCATTGTATTTGGTATTGATGAAACTCATTCAATCAGTTTTTTAAGATAGGCACTGCCTGGCTAACAGAAAAAAATCTTGACTATAGACACGTTTCAGAAATTTTATATAAAACAAAAACTTTTAAGGATATTTGAGACATTTTAGCGGGGTCTATGTGCAGTTTCACCCAATTGGTTATGTGTTGCATAACCATGCAACGTCTTCATAGTCAAAGAGCTATAAACGTGATGTTTTTTGCTAGTATATTCACTCATCCTGTGTGGAATTATAAACGTCAAAATACTATAGCAGTAAGTATATGTAACGAAGTTAGAGGGCATGTGATGGTTTTACAATATAATGTTCAAAAATTATTCTTCAATAGTAAAACTTACCCTATTTTTTGGCGTCCCCTCCATGTCCTGTTGACGGGATGTCGAGGGAGAGGCCTATAAAAGAAAAATAGAAAACACATAACATTTAAAAGACGTGCATTAACTAGTAGGGTTGTTCGGTTAGGGGTTTGCATCCCCCAACAGCTATCGTCGCAAAGACAACGGGACCATCCAACGGCAAATTTCAAATGACATCTCACTGAACTGTCATAACATCGACACGGTAGCATGATACTGCATCCGTTCACTATAATGTCATATCATGGACAATATGTAGCATGACACTGCAACCGGTCACTAAAATATCATATAATGACCAATGTAGCATGACACTTCACCCGGTCATTCAAAAGACATAATCTGGACACGGTAGTATGACACTCGACCAAGTAACTGGACACTTATTACACTGCAACCGGTCACATTATTCTACTATATGCTTGACAGATGTGCGTAGGGAGACAGCGCTGAGAACAAAGAGTAGATGAAAATGATAAGAAATGATATAGGCTCTAAGTGTTGAAATAATGTAAGCAGATTAGTTTTCCTCTTTTGTGTTCCAAAGAATTAGAAACAAAAATGATTTTACTTAACTCCAATTACTCACACGGTCATGCAATGGGATAAACTGTATCAAATATTTTCTGATGTCACTGATTCTGTTGGGCCTGATAAGCTCCTTTTTTTGTTTCATGCAAATGTTTCATTGAAGCATTTTCTCGTAAGTACTAGAAACGTGAACGTTAAAACCATTTGTTCACTGACTATTGTACACATTAATGAGCGAACACGTCCTTTTACAATTTGTTACAAAGGTTCTGAAATTGATACATTTGATACAACGCGTTCGGTTCTACTACAACGTTTATTAAGGGGATGTATGCATTGTTTTCAGAATATGTTATCAGAAAAGACCGTGCCTGTATCAATCAAAATAACACTAAGTTTTAAATTTCTATCACCTGAATTAGTGAATATTTTATTCCTTATCTATATCACATAAACTATTTTCATGCTTGAGAACAAAATGTCAGTGTCATGTAGTCGTATTAAAACCAGCTAAATTCTTTATACACCTAAATACTCTCTCACACACACATATATACACACATATACATATAAATATCTATATAATACACATCAGTGATAACATTTTAAAGAGCTATGCTAACAATAAACATCAATAATATAATGTTGCAGAGCTGCCTTGATTATAAAAGGTCTATAACTCTATTGGTTTATTATGGCCGAGTAAGTCTAGAGGACTGTATCAGAATACCTCTCTGGATTTTTAAGCAGTCTCGGAAACTGCCGTGGGCAACGTACGTCAGTTCAATGGCGCGTTACGGAGAATGAGAATAATGGTCCCGACTTATTGATCTAACTGTACTTAATTTACACTGCCATCAAACAATTGGCATATACATACATCTGTATTCTGTGAAAAACAAAGGGTTCATTACTGTTTGTATTCCTTTTGTTTATTTAATGGTAGCGAATACGAATTCTATTATTAAATATAAAGTTTCTGTCATGGAAATACATTTATATTTTATCACCAAAGTGAAAAGTTTTTTTTTTTTTTTTTGGAAAGGTAGACTACATTCTAATAACTCTCATATTAACAGGGTGTTATAAACAGATTTATAGATTAACAACACCGTCATATACTCTGGATACTATACAATTTTACAACACCGTCATATACTCTGGATACTATACAATTTTACAACATCGTCATATACTCAGGATACTATACAATTTTACAACACCGTCATATATACTGATACTATACAATTTTACAACACCGTCATATACTCTGGATACTATACAATTTTGCAACACCGTCATATACTCTGGATACTATACAATTTTGCAACACCGTCATATACTCTGGATACTATACAATTTTACAACGCCGTCATATACTCTGGATACTATACAATTTTACAACGCCGTCATATACTCTGGATACTATACAATTTTACAACATGGTCATATACTCAGGATATTATACAATTTTACAACACCGTCATACACTCAGGATACTATACAGTTTTACAACACCGTCATATAGTCAAGATACTATACAATTTTACAACATCGTCATATACTCAGGATACTATACAATTTTACAACACCGTCATATACTCAGGATACTATACACTTTTACAACACCGTCATATACTCTGGATACTATACAATTTTGCAACACCGTCATATACTCTGGATACTATACAATTTTGCAACACCGTCATATACTCTGGATACTATACAGTTTTACAACACCGTCATATAGTCAAGAAACTATACAATTTTACAACATCGTCATATACTCAGGATACTATAAAATTTTACAACACCGTCATATACTCAGGATACTATACAATTTTACAACACCGTCATACACTCAGGATACTATACAGTTTTACAACATCGTCATATACTCAGGATACTATACAATTTTACAACACCGTCATATACTCTGGATACTATACAGTTTTACAACACCGTCATACAATTAGGGTGTTATACAAAGTGATAATGCAATATATGTATTCAATTATGAAAATGCAATATCTATTATATCACCCGCTGTAAAGTTTCGGGGGTAAAAAAAAGATGCCGTTACAAATTCATGGTGAGAGTAAAACTGATAGTGTTGTCCCATTTTGCTGAATTGCCTTTGATATTTATTCCAAATAAAATAACAACAATCACTGAAGCTCATTTCCTGAAACTGAAATTGGTCCTCCGGGTATGCAAATTTTCATATTTTATTTATTTTGATGTTCCAGGGTAAACATTCTGATGACAAAATAATCTTATTATAATTCATAAATTACTCTTCACAAAAACAATTGATGTCCAAACAATCAAGAGCATATCAGTAATAGGCTTGACTTCCTTTCATTGAGATAATTAATTGATGATTTTAATGGAATCTGGCATTCATTGAATGGGAAGATTGACGTCAAATTAATATCTTAATGATAATTAGATTACATTTTATTCATGAATATTATGTCATCACTACAATAAAACACCACGAACCGAGGAGACACCAAACCAAAGTCGTTATGAACGCCCTTAAACCAGAAGAAACAAGGAACTCATAACGGGAAGCCATAACGGGAAGACATTTCATGCGCTACATGTGGCATGTGGCATATTTACTGCCAAATACAGGAAAATATAAATGTATTTAAGGAATGACCAAGATTTTGTCTTGGTATCACCGGTATATACCGAAAACAAATTGTGCACTTTGCATAAATCCGCGAAGCGGTTTATGCAAAAAAGTGCACATTTTTTTCCGGTATATACCGTATATACCAAAACAAAATCTTGGGCATTCTTTATAATTTAATTTAAAAAAGTAGACAAACACGTTGTAAATGCACAGTTAAAGATTTATTTAATTTTAACGTAAACTAAACAATTGCTCTAAAAAAAAAGCTGCGTTGTAATTTTGTATTCTGAAGTGTAAAAAGTAGTTCCGTCATCAGTTGTTTTTCTTTTTAGGTATATACGATATATACCAAAAAACATATTATGGGGGAGATAGGCAAAATTAAATTATTAAAAAATCTGAGGCAAAGTGAACAGTTCTTTGAATACAACTGTAAAATATCATAGGCGTAAATTGGAGGGAATTGATGACCGTATATTTTAATTAATCTTGATTAAAACCTTTCACATAACGTGGCGAAGAAAACTAGAGAAATATGTATCCTATAATTTATTTCTAAGATGCTTAAACTATTTTCTTCAACATGGTTCCGTATATTCTTTAGTAAATATTATATATTGATTGGCGAATTTCAATATTTACAAATTAAGATCGTGAATGTGACGAACAATTGTTTTTTTTTATATATGCAAAATAGTATTTAGATAGAAGTCGTTGGGAAACAAAAGATGTATACAATAAAACCTAGGAAAATAAGTGTGAGTAGATACATAACATGACATGACAGTTTCGCATGGCAATAAACAATAAACTTAAAATTTGTTTTGCCTTCGTGTACATCATATTAAACAAAAATTAAAGTGTCAAATCCGATGACATTTACATTGATATTATACTTGTCAACACGTCACATTAAACATCAATACATAAGCAACATACATGGATTGTAAATAAATATGAACTTAACTTCAGTGTAATATATAACGATTGTAAAACAGTATTTTTTCCCCTTGTTTATTCAACAGAGAAAAACCACACTGACTTTCCTATGTTAACTGACGAAGAACATCGACATACACTTAGTTCAATGTATTTAACTCGATATCACTTTCTTTGAAAAAGACTGTTTCTTTCGTGTTCATTTCATAGGCTACTAGGGAAATTCCCAAAGGCTTGTCAAAAGTGAAATGCTGAATATTTTTAAATTATATATTCGTGTTATTCTAAAGCAACATCCTGCAAACCCAAATACGTTACTACAACAGAAGAACACAATTCTTAATTAACTTATTGCTAAAGTATAACCATGTATACTCTTAATATAGTATTTTATATGAGCAATATGGACTACAACAAATACAGATGTTCTGTAGTGAAACATGCTATACTCTTCATCGTCCCTTACCGCCATAAATGACCAAATCACACTCTACCCAAACACTATACCATAGACGGTCTTCGTCCTCTGTTCAGAAAGTAGGAGATCTACAAACATCACAGACACCACATTGAAACCCATTACCGGTGATAAACCAGTATATAGTAAAAACCCATGCATTTTAACGGAAATATGTTCATACCCATGGCTTGTAAACACTTACCTAAGCTGTGTGTGTGTTCCTCTATAAGGTTCCAATATTTCAGTCAAACGTACCCACTACCTAACCAACATCGAGTGGTCGGTCGGTTTTGTCTAACTTGTCATTATTGAATGATCAGGATTCCCTTGATGTTCATATCTCCGGTACGGATCAATAAGGAATATCAGATACTGTGTAACGGCAAATTCTCGCCCAATTAAACTTCATATGAAAGTGTCGTATTCGCCCACTGTTATTTTCTTTCTCCACATGTATGTTTTATAATCTAGTATAATGAATATTAATATTCGCTCTCATGATAAAAAAAAAAAAAAGTCAAAATGTGGCAAACATGTCCGGTCCACAGAGATTCTCGTACTGGTTGTGTTTATAAGGAGATAAACGTGGAAAATTAACACATAGCATTATTTCAATTTCACGAAGACAACTACATCTTAGCGACTATAACGTATCTCTATTTTATGTTTAACAGCAAACACAAGGATTTTGGTTTGTGTGTTCAAAATATATATCTATGTATAAATTCTATTTTTAAATGCGTTTAATCCCTCAAATATATTTTTCTGTATCGGATATCACGAGAATGGTTGTCTATATCGAATTTCCCGGACATTTTTACCTATATCGAATTTCCCGTACACGTTTTTACTTGGCGAGGGGCATGAACATGTTCGTGTGGTATAGGTTCTGAACAATGCTATATATTTATGTTCATTTGTCTCGATAGCTCGGTACTTTAATCACTCATTATATGTGTACATAGTTATACAGCGAAAGTCCATCAACATTATTTGAAGCAGTTCGATCTGATAAGTATTGATATCATAGCGTCGGTGAGGCAATCGATGTAAACTTGGAGAGTGTAAGATATAACTGGCCACGCTTGTGTGTATATATATTGAATGCAATGAGGAGAATGAAAGATATAACTGGACACGTGTGTGTACTACAGTTTGTATACGTATCCTGTTTGTTATGGGTATGTATTTTAAATCGGTTATATACTATTTTTGTACTTGTTATAGTACCATACGACGTAACTACTACACCATAGATGTGAATGAATTATATTCAGTGAGTTCTGTATTATCGCTTTCATTTGAGACCAATATATCCTATATTCAGATATCATACTCAGACAAAAATATTAGAAAACAAATCGTTTATTTTGTTTTTATGATCTCAAAGAAACCAGGTTTGTTTAACGACAAAAAAAGCAACAGCTAGGGCCAAATGTAGACGGTATGCTTAACATTCATTTGTGACTTGAAATTATCTCGTCAGTTTTATTAAGAAATAACCTATTTGCTATGATTAAACAACCTTTTTGCCGCGTCCTATCTGATCTTAAAGAAATTACTGAACATTCAAGGGATAGCATACACTCAATGCAATGAGGAGAGTGTAAGCTTTTACTAGCCACGTGTGTGTACTACAGTTTGTATACGTATCCTGTTTGTTATGGGTCTGTATTTTCAATGGATTATATACTATTTATATACTTTTATAGTACCATACGGCTTAACTACTACAGCATAGAAAATGTTATACCGACCTAGATCATATAATTCTCCATATCAGGTAGTTGCACTTGGGCATTAAGGTGAACTTTTCAAATACACAACACCATATCCGAGTCTTCAGAATGACTGCGGTAAATAGGTTGATGCAACTGAGATACACAACCTTTTGTATATCTCTGTTTCCGCGCTCTCTTTACTGTACTGAATAGCTATTGTATTTTGACTTTTTTTTTTTATTATATTCTATATTCCTGCTACAGGAAATGTGTTGTTAATAGTAGTATAATGTAGTTTATCGTACGATATATATACTGCTGACAAATTCACAGTAATATTTATCAAGGGTTCGAAAATCATATCACGTGGTCTATTTTTGTGCAACACACCTAGACAAATTAGAATTTATCGACTGTAATTGTAGAGTTTTGTAAATTCTCAATAATTTAAATTGTGTAGCTTACTTCCTCTACGAAATGAATCAGTAGTTGAAATAAATACTTGGAAAACAAAGCCAACGTGATGTATGGCGCTTTAAGTGTTACAGTTCACCTATTCGTGGGGTAATGAATTCTTTTGTCATTATGTGTCAACAATGTTTAGAATTGGGTTTGGTTTTATGAATGAATAATTAAACAGATATTTAATATTGTGCAATTGAAATAAAAACTTTCGATATTTTTTACATGATTTAGACAGTTGAATTCATCGATTTAGCATACGTTGCTTCATGAACTGTTTTCAGCTTGTTGATAACAACACCACTCATGTCTACCCTTTAGCTTGACAATGTGAAAAGGTGTTAAGGAAATATCACCCAAAATAGTTTTATGATGTTTGTGTATAAAATAAACACCACGTTTGTCTCCTCAGTGGTATATTGTTGTTTTGATACGTCCGGAGTATTATACTTTGCTGTCTTCTGACAAGTTTTTCTGTTTAAATTGACACGGACCAAATGTGTTTGGTGTAATGGGTTCTTCTACATGACTTAAACTATGTTGGACTGAGCCGTTTTCATGTGAGAATTGTGTTTGATGAAGTCTTCCAATACACTTACACTTTACATTTGTTCTGCATCCTTCCATTGTGATGCACTGAGAAGGCAAATGTTGTTATGAGACTATAACAACATTTGATATTGTAACGTCATCAATCTCTAGTGTGACGTGATTCATATCATTGTTGTCAAGACTTAATTTGCTGTTCAAAGAACTGTTCGAAATAACTAAATAAAGCGTAACTACTCTATCAAAATGTAAACATAAATAATGATTTTTTCGCAAATATTGTTATGATCCCATAAAACATATTTCTATTGCTGACAAACGTACATAAAGCACTGCCGAGCTGTATTAAGTTTGTCATCAAATGCAAATATAGTTTCACTAGTCTCTGTATTTGATCTGGCGTCTTTTCATCTCTTGTTGGTGTATTTCTACTTCGACTTTCAAGCTTGCTATAGCATTTTCTCGTAAAGCACTTAATCATTTGTCGATTGACAATAGTGACGCTGACTGTTTTAGAACAAATGTCATGCAGTTTTTCTTATTTATTCAGTTCAAAATACCAAAGATATTTTCTATGAGCTCTTTATAACCATTGGTCAAGAACACCGATAAATCACAAATATCCCGCTTCCTATGTAACAACAGCGAGTTAATTTCATGGTAAATTAACTAAACTATTTTAATATTCCCACGACTCACCTTGTGGTGGCTAGCCGGTCGTCGTTGGGGTGCTGTGGGTTCCGGCGTTGGGGTTCTCTTTCCGTCGTCGATATCAGCATAATCCGCTATATCTACACTGGAGAAGGAGCTATCGTTTCTCTCACTATAGTTAGCATCACCATTGCCGTACGAGTCATCACTACCACTCTGAAAAAAGGGAAATTCGTATATCAGAACTCGGTCACATTGTCCATTGAAGTTTGGAGAAAATGCTATGTAAGTACTACAGTTAATTGCTAGTGTCACTTAGGAGACTAGTATTGAACCACTCTTCTTCGATGCTACTTTGACGACAGCATATACAATGATATTAATGTTTTGTTGTTGATTTATAAGTTATTTTGATGGAGAGATAACGAACCAGCTTGTACACGTTTCACTACACATCTTCCTCTCGTCCCTGAAATATTTATCATGGCTTATCCTGTCGGTGAAATTACATGGCGGATTTACTTCATTTGAGGAAAACATACATAACATCGCATATATTCAGAATGGATTTATTCCGCTCGGCATGCTTATTGATCCGCATCACGTGTTAAACTGAAAATCATTGGATGATGCTGACCCGATAACGATTCGTTATCCAAATAGAATTTTAACGGGCGTTCCGTCCGCGATATATTGATTTGCCACATTCTCTTGTAATAAATACCTGTGTTTTTGCTAATGTGGAAAATCATGTCAATAAGTATATTTACAATTATTTCTTACGTGTTTACACATCAAGCTGATTTATTATGAAATTGTAATGATAAAATTGTTAATATATGATTTAATTTCTTATATTGACAATATAATTATTTTTTGTTAATTTATTCATAACTGATCTGTCATAGTTATAAAAAAAAAGTATGAAGCATTAAGATATATGATACTACAATTGATTTTGTTCTGGTTGGTGATATAAATAATTCATGTCACGTGGTCCAAAAACAATGCGCCAATGTTTCAAAAAATATTGATCGTCGTCAAAACACTTTAATAAACAAATATTGCACGTGTATCAGAAAAAATAACGTATCCTGTATTGGATTATATTTCTATGTCATTTTTTTATATATACTGTTGAATAATTGAAGGTTTGTAAGTAATGTGCCCCATTGATGTTAAAACGAGTGCTTTTCTGTAAACCCATGAAAAAAACTGCCGTTTCCATTATACAAGAAAACATTTGAACGCACCGAGAATTTATTTTACTCTTTGTTCTACTAAACCATCCATTCAGTTGAGAGAATTTTGCAAATTATTTATTCGGATTTGTATTATTTCTTAAAAGTCACTCGATATTAATTAGTTCTGAACGGTGACTTTTCTTTAATTTTTAATTTTTATAAATTAGCTTATACACCGTGAAAAGTGATTGATTCTTGTTTCAAATATGGCGCTGTTCACGGTTCAGCGAGATTATTGTTCGATGACAGCCATTGATTGGTTTCTTCAACATTTGGGGACATAGAATATATTTGGGATCCATTAAGTCTAATTGCATAGCAAAGGGATGCTTCTTCTTTGACGGTTAAGTGAACAATGGCGGCTTCGTTCCGGAATATGAGAACGCGTCACTATAAGAGCAGTGTGTCAATTCGCGTACATAACGATCGTTACGTTATAAATGAATAAAGGCGTGCTAAGGTCTACTCAGATTAACTATGAAAAGAAGACAAACAGTGTTGTTCACTGTGTATTTTTCTAAATTTAGTCGTTGCTTACTGCATTCATACTACCGTATACGCCATCAAAATGAAGGCCAATCCTTATATGAACACAATATATTCACCAACGGTTGGGCCCTCACGCTAGGTCCAAATTAGTGTTCAACACACAATTAAATGTCGTAACTTCGACATGGCTACGCAGTAACTGAAAACGGACTTACATGTACCAGGTACACCTCCTATAAATCCGAGACAGATATTCATTCACTTAAAAGCAAAAACAAATTCCCAGAAAAACAGGTATACCCTTTCAAAAAATCTGTATCATTTTGTATTCATTTCAAAGATCATCGAAAAGAAGTGATACATAAGCAACGATATCATCACAGGAACCACAAGAAAAAGATAATCAAGAGTAAATAAGTACGAGTATAAAATGCTTAAATGGGACTCAGCACCACTTTCAGGTAATATGGGCTTGATGTACTAGGAATATGATAAGAGGCGAGGTGGGTCATTTATGGAACATATTTTCCTTATGACCTAGGTTTTTTAAAACTATTCAACTACCATAAAATGAATATAGGCAAACACTTTGATAAAGACTGCTCGCCTACTGTTAGTTGTTCACGATAAGGTTTGGTTTTGTACACCGTAAACCGTATTTATGCTGGTATAGTTAACCTTTACGCATATAAGGTAACATCAATTAATTGAAAAACAAGTTAAACAAAAGCAAATCCAGATACCCTCGAAACATGTATTGAAATAACCAACAACAAGACAGAGAAAAGTAATATAAAAATGAATATCATGATAAACCTTTATCTGAATAACTTAAAAATCAATATGTTTGCCTATTTGCCCCCAACATGAAGGCGATTCAGTGCCGACTACGTAATGTTTTAGCCATTTTAGTTACCGTGCCCTTTCTGTTCTTATTAGATAACGTAATACCACATGTCAATGTATTTTCTTTTAGAACATTTCTCCACCATTACCTTGTTACAATGTCATTAGCTGATAGACACTTTTAAATATCAAAATATATGTACAAATAGACAAAGTAATAAAAAACACTTTTGGAAATCTCCTGATATAAACACTTTCACAACAAAACATATAACAACATTGCAAATATAATTACCGCCATTTCGGTTTCCTTGTTAAATTGAGTAATCCTCAGGCGTCCAGCGTTGTTAATACTGTGCCCAGAACAAGTTTCTTCCACACGAGTTTTTTTTTTACCTCATATAGATGGCACGTCGTCTAGTTTTATATCAAGCTTATGTCGAGCTATATATAGAATCTTTATTGTGTATTTGAAAGTTAAGCTAGTCGGTGTTATTTCAAAGCTCATGTATTTTCTATCAAATCCCAAACGGGACCATTTTGTGTTGAAAAATTGATGGCATCGTCATGGTTTTATGGCCGGTGCCTGGGTCACGCTTCACTGGACACATCTAACATGTGAACGGTATACAGTAGGATTGTCACATGCTGCCATTGTGTATGAGAAAAATATCTGCATGTAAGGTCTCAATACATTTATTTATTCTACCCATGTTCAGCCTCAAAATCAATGAGTAATATTATATCACACAAATACAAAGGGACTGCATGAATATGCTATTATTTTGTTTAATGATCGCTGCCTCAATGGTTATGGATTTTATGAAGATGGTGTTAGTGGTTTTATGTTTGATAGTGATGTTGTAAGTGGTTGTATGTTTGAAAGTGATGTTGTGAGTGGTTGTGGGTTTGATAGTGGTGTTGTGAGTGGTTGTAGGTTTGATAGTGATGTTGTGAGTGGTTGTATGTTTGATAGTGGTGTTGTAAGTGGTTGAATGTTTGAAAGTGGTGTTGTGAGTGGTTGTAGGTTTGATAGTAGTGTTGTGAGTGGTTGTTTGTTTGATAGTGATGTTGTGAGTGGTTGTATGTTTGATAGTGATGTTGTGAGTGGTTGTATATATGATAGTGATGTTGTGAGTGCTTGTTTGTTTGATAGTGATGTTGTGAGTGGTAGTATGTTTGATAGTGGTGTTATGAGTGGTTGTATGTTTGATAGTGGTGTTGTGAGTGGTTGTAGGTTTGTTAGTGGTGCTGTAAGTGGTTGTAGGTTTGATAGTGATGGTGTGAGTGGTTGTAGGTTTGATGGTGGTGTTGTGAGTGGTTGTTTGTTTGATAGTGGTGTTGTGAGTGGTTACAGGTTTGATAGTGATGGTGTGAGGGGTTGTAGGTTTGATAGTGGTGTTGTGAGTGGTTACAGGTTTGATAGTGACGGTGTGAGTGGTTGTAGGTTTGATAGTGGTGTTGTTAGTGGTTGTAGGTTTGATGGTAGTGTTGTGAGTTGTTGTTTGTTTGATGGTGGTGTTGTGAGTGGTTACAGGGTTGATAGTGATGGTGTGAGTGGTTGTAGGTTTGATGGTGGTGTTGTGAGTGGTTGTTTGTTTGATAGTGGTGTTGTTAGTGGTTGTAGGTTTGATGGTAGTGTTGTGAGTTGTTGTTTGTTTGATGGTGGTGTTGTGAGTTGTTGTTTGTTTGATGGAGGTGTTGTGAGTGGTTACAGGTTTGATAGTGATGGTGTGAGGGGTTGTAGGTTTGATAGTGGTGTTGTGAGTGGTTGTTTGTTTGATAGTGGTGTTGTGAGTGGTTGTTTGTTTGATAGTGGTGTTGTTAGTGGTTGTAGGTTTGATGGTAGTGTTGTGAGTTGTTGTTTGTTTGATGGTGGTGTTGTGAGTGGTTGTTTGTTTGATAGTGGTGTTGTTAGTGGTTGTAGGTTTGATGGTAGTGTTGTGAGTTGTTGTTTGTTTGATGGTGGTGTTGTGAGTGGTTACAGGTTTGATAGTGACGGTGTGAGTGGTTGTAGGTTTGATAGTGGTGTTGTGGGTGGTTGTAGGTTTGATAGTGGGGTTGTGAGTGGTTGAAGGTTTGATGGTGGCGGTGTTAGTGGTTGTAGGTTTGATGGTGGTGTTGTGAGTGGTTGTTTGTTTGATAGTGGTGTTGTTAGTGGTTGTAGGTTTGATAGTGGTGTTGTTAGTGGTTGTAGGTTTGATGGTAGTGTTGTGAGTTGTTGTTTGTTTGATGGTGGTGTTGTGAGTGGTTACAGGTTCGATAGTGATGGTGTGAGTGGTTGTATGTTTGATAGTGGTGTTGTGGGTGGTTGTTTGTTTGATAGTGATGTTGTGAGTGGTTGTAGGTTTGATAGTGGTGTTGTGAGTGGTTGAAGGTTTGATGGTGGCGGTGTGATTGGTTGTCGGTTCGATAGTGGTGCTGTAAGTGGTTGTATGTTTAATAGTGGTGTTGTGAGTGGTTGTAGGTTCGGTTGTGTTGGTGTAGGTGGTTGTAGGTTTGATGGTGGTGGTGTAAGTGGTTGTAGGTTTGATGGTGGTGTTGTGAGTGGTTGTCAGTGTGCTTGTGGTTGTGTTAGCGGTTTGATGGTAATTTGATGGTAGTGGTGGTGGTGTTGTTAGTGGTTGTAGCTTTGATAGTGATGTTGTGAGTGGTTGTATATATGATAGTGATGTTGTTAGTGGTTTTAGGTTTGATAGTGATGTTGTGAGTGGTTGTAGGTTTGATAATGTTGTTGTGAGTGGTTGTAGAATTGATGGTGGTGGTTTAAGAGGTGGTAGGTTTGATGGTGTCGTTGTGAGTGGTTGTAGGTTTGGTAGTGTTAGTGTAAGTGGTTGTCAGTGTGCTTGTGGTTGTGTTAGCGTTTTGATGGTAATTTGATGGTAGTGGTGGTGGTGGCGTTAGCGGTTGTAGGTTTGGTAGTGTTGGTGTAAGTGGTTGTTAGTGTGATGGTGTTAGTGGTGGTAGTTGTGAATGTGGTTTGATACTGGTGCTGCTGGTGTTAGCAGTTGGATGGTTGTGGTGATGTTGACTAGATGATTGAGATGCAGAGTGGTTGTAGGTTTGGGGTATTGTGGTCGTGATGATGTTAGTGGCTCAGGTGTGCAATTGATAGTTGTACAGTTGTGTTGCACCTGGTAAGAGTCAGCAGTCAGACATCTTTTGTTTATTATACTCTTCCATATATTGTTTTGATATTGCGATCAATGAAATGTTTATTTTGTTATTTTATTTTTAAATTTCACATCATTATATCACATAAGCTTCTGATAACCTGCCTCACATAATCAATACACGTTTCGCTTAGTAATCGATCCGTTAGAAACTTAATCCAATGAAACAGGTTTACAATTCTTCGCACATAATAATTCAATATCAAAGAATTCATTAATATTGAATTGAAACTTTCAGTGCAATAAACACAATAAGGCTGGTGAATCGATGTCCTATATTGCTGTTTGGGTGTACTTGATTGTACACCATTGCTATTATATCGCTATGCTTTACACGAGCCTGGCATTTTTTTACACGGCGTAATGTAATCCCCTTATGAACAGAATTGAGGATTATTGGAATAACCTTTGTATTTATGGATGAAAGCTCCACAAGACACGCGTACACATATTCAGCTAAGTGATTACCGTAGAACATGGTGATATGATATTTTCGCGCTGAGAGCAGATAAGTGTCATTCTCGCATTTTAAACTTTGCGGTATCACGACAGGTAAAATGATATATCAAATATCATTCTTGACCATACAAATTCCAAAGATTAATTAGAAACTTGCCCGGAAATTTTGGCTTTGCGGCTTCTATCTGACGCGAAATCGGCAAAATAAAAAAAGTAGATAAATCGTTATACCACATCTAGATAAGGAGAATATGGTAGATCATATTTTTCTAAACGTTTAAAATATGCTATGTAAAATTAATGCGGTTGGTGAATAAAGAAAATTATTGGTTTTGGTCAAAAATGGTTTAAGATAATGATGATTTTGTTTTCAACTCCACAACTCTACAAACTACAAGAAAACATAATCATTGTTTTTTTTTCAAAATAAGTTATAAAATGGACAAAATGTCTCTATGACGCCAAATAATCAAATGTTTCTTTTTGACAAAGTTTGATTCAACTTTAATTCCGACAAAATTTTATACTATGTATTTACCTTGTTGCATATCTGGTTTTGGGGAAATGTTTGAAATGATCGGATTCTGAATATAAAATCTGCCTCGTCAGAAATGATTTTTAAACAAAAGAGAGAAGAGGTTCGTTTACGTCACGTTGTTCTTCAAAACGTTATCTCACACAAATCAAGCATGGAAATAGGAAATAGGAAAGAAAGAAGTCTAGTTTTAAATGATATCTCATAACATACAATACGATTTACATAATCTATTACATCATAATTATTTCTGCTGTTAAAATATCACTTTTCTTTTTGTACTTAGTGGATTGAGCCTCAAAGGGAATCCAAGAGGCTATAAATTTAAAAAAATTACCCGTTGGAAATATGGACTTTTTTGGGATTTGGAAAATATGTATAAAGGATAGAATGTATGAATTATGTTTTCTTCGTTTTCTCCTGCATAAGAGTAAAAAACTCATTTATTACAATAATTCCATTATTCTGTATCTGACGTGGTTATACAGAATACCATGAGAGAGCTTATTTATTATTCTTTTAGATACTGTATATTGCTGTTACTTAAACATCAATGTTATCTCTCTAATTGAACAAAAAACCAATAAAAAAACACGCAACTAACTGTTCACAGAACTGTTTGAGAGAATATGTATTGTGGCAACCCGACAAAGTAGGTCAAAGTGTCAATACCAAATACATAACATCAAGGACAGTCATTTTTTCACACGATAAATATTTTGTTTGCATAATTTTTGTTCATATTTATTTTTCGGTTTTTATATATTGATATACTTCTGTCATTTGTATCTCTATTTCAGTGAAGAAATATTCATCTGAATGATGATGCTTTGTTTAATAACTTTGAAAAAAAATTGGTTCTGTTACGAGTATAACTTGCTGTTGTGGTTTTTTTTCATCTTAGTTTATTAATGAATCACACCGGACAGTAAACGCTAGGCTGGTGATGTACGAGTTATCTTTCTTTTGCTACGTGACCAACAGTTACACAAGAAAAATCTTAAAAAAAAATCCACCGAAAAAGAAGATTATTAAGACTTTTATAATCATCCCCATCATTACGATGCGGAGAAAAATGTTGCTGGTGGTATTTTGATCTCTTAAGATAAATGCTGATATACAATTGAATTCAGTTAAGCTTCGACTGGATGTTTGATCATTCTTTTGTGATATTGATTAATGTATTGTGGTCGTGTTTCCTCGTACAGAGGATGAAACACAGCCAGTTGTACGTTACATGGGTGTACTGTAGGAGTTCAGAACGTCTCCTAAAGACCACGTGTCTATGCTACTATATGTCTTATAACGACTGACTTCACTTTCTTGACTGGATAGCCTTCTTTCATATAGGTTCAATTATAAATGCAACAGATGCATTTGGAAGTACATAGTTTTATCAACCTAGGTAAGCAATATTACCCGAGGACGCAGTCCGAGGTTAATATTGCTAACCTAGGTCGATAAAACCAGGTATCGACCGAAATCACAATGATACAATAGTTTTATTTTTTTAATTGATTTTTTCAAAATTGAAGAGAAAAAAAAGAAAAAAATATATTTTTTTTCCATTTTTTTTCTAGGATCTATTGATAGCAGGTTAATAACACTTTTTTCTACCAACCTTTTTGAACACCTGTTCCATAATCTATTTATAGCAGGTAAATAACACTTGGTCTACCAACTTTTTTTAACACCTGCAAACCACTCAGGTTTATAACTACTTTTACAGGTGGTCACATGATGTTGTTTCAGCCAATCAGAGTCAGCTCAAAATCAATTAAAATAATAATAATGTATTTTTTTCCCTACATCCTCGTTGGCTGGATAACCATCACGTGTTACGTTATTTTTGTTATATTAACTCGGTGTTACTATAAACATCAGGTCAATATTCGCTTTATGACGTCACTTCAAATGTAAACTTACAATGTTCTCTGCCAAATGTAGCATTGATTGCTTGGCGATTGTTATATCTAATATTACAATGAAGGACTTTTATTTCGGTGAATATGTGCTTTATGAACCTGAAAAGTGATATTGACTTCGACTTCATCTCGGTTAATATCACTTTTTCATGTCTATATAACCACATATTCACCTCAACATTTCATAATTGATTTTTTTTTTTTTTTTTTTTTACATTATCATTTAGACATCCATTAACAGGTACACAAGGTTTTGTATTAATTGTCTAAACACTTAGACACTAAAAATGTTCTTTTTATCTATATACTTACGGAATTTTCACGGAGCAAAGACAAGAATAGAAACATACCTGGCTGCCATATCGTCTGTTCTTGATCCTCTCTGCCAACGTGAGTCCGTCATTAGGGTTATGGCGACGGTATTTGTTGTTGAGGACCCGGCGAGCGTTCATATACTGCATTCCGTACACCTGATTAAACACCTCGTACAATGTATTTCCGTCCACTGGTCGCCGACCGTCTGTAACAGAAAACACTCTATATGTCATCAAACAGCATTAACATTATAACGGCCATCTACTAGTTGAAGGAATTACGTATAATTTCCCTACTATATCCGCCAATCTAATTAATTGAACAAACAAACAAGAAAAATTATCCGAACTCCAGTATTTTCGGCAATACCCAACAATAAACAAACGAGAAAATTGTCTGAACTCAAATTCTATTTGGTTTTCGCACAAACACTGTGCATTGTATCTAAAACTGCATAATATTGATATTTTCGTTAAGAATAATATAGCGATGTTCTGACTTTGGAGTGTTCAGTCCGTACAACTGGACAGAGGTGCCACACAGCTGTTTGTGACTGCCTTTCAAAAACTTTTATCGAAACAAATTAAGTGTAAACTGAAAAGTTGATATACAAAACAAGTTTTATAATGGTTTTATTCATAAAAAATAAGCTGTGCCTTGGTTGGGGCATTCTAATAATCGTTACATTTGAGAATATATATATATAAAAAAAGTAAATGGCCGTTTTCGGATATACACTTTTATTACTCTCCTTTTAGCATTGTATTCAGTTTCAGAAACTCACAAGTCTTTCCAAAATTTTGGCGCCAATTTATTGTGACGTCATCTTTTGACGCTTTGAGATGGACACCATGTTGGTTCAATCAACATTTCTGATTTGATAAAAAAAATGTGTGAATCTATTACTGCTACTGTATGAGCGTTGGAAAAGTTGTTTAATATCCCATAACCCCGCAAAAAGTTCAACCCTAACTCTAAACCCTAAACTTCAAACCCGTAACCCCTACGAACATAAAACCTGACCCTGACGCTAAACTAAACCAAATTCTAAGTTGCTTGTGATGGAACTACTTTTCCATATACTATACACCAGACTCAACCACTTTTGATTATATGTTATAAATTTAGAGCTCTTGAAGTTTGTGTATTCGCATGGGAAAAGTTCAGATTATCAAATGATCATTTACGTCCCTTAATGGAAAGAAATGACTTAACTTTGAAAGGCGCAAGTAAAGGAACTCCTTTAAACTAAGGTATATTCGCGACACTAGGACATGTAAGTGCAAACTTAGCACTGAAATACGGCTGTGTGCCTAGTGACATCATGTGCTTTTAAAAGAAAAACAATATTTTGAATTACATTTCAAAATTGGATTTACTGTTGGTAAGTAAGAAAAATACATTTTCCACAAAGATTCGTAGAATATTTTGACCTATAGGATTTAAAATCATTTGATTTCAGCTCATCCAAACACAGTCTAATTCAAATCAAAACTTCATTGTGTCTTCGAACATGTTTTTGTCTCTCGGTTTCTCCGATGTTCATCTAGTCTAGATTCAAAGCTCATGGCAGTTTGTACCTCTATCACGTAAGCTGAAAGTGTGTAATCCGGAATTTCTAATGTGCATTTTGCAAAAAAAAGTAATCTCTGGTAGATGAGCCCTTACTTAATTGGATAACATTGCATTATTTGTGTCGTTATCCCCGGTAGTAATCGTATAACGTTTTATCTTGTCCCAACTTGATCTTTGAACTTCTATACGCAAAACTACGATCAAATCATTTTTTTAGACATTTTTTTCGTACGATAATGTTGGACAACTCTGTCTTTTGTGTTGCTTTGTGTTTTGCGTATTCAGTTGCTTCGATTTGTTTGACTATATGAAAGCACCGCACTTGTTCCGCGTATTCAACTTAAGGTTTTACTAAAGAATGAATGGTGTTCGGTCCAGTCCATTGTTTCCGATTTAACAAAATTTAAAGTAGTTGGATTTTTATTTCTTTAGTTGATATGAGCTCTTATCTGCTTTAGAATGGCCAATTATCACCATTTTGCTTTTAGTCTGATGATATACAAGTCACCAAGTTTTCGGTTATTTCTGACGAAAATGTATATCTCTTCGTAAAAATTAACAAAAAAAGTTCTTTTAAAAATTTCTCTGAATGCTTTTGTAGCGCAAGCAAAGAGAAGAGTTTTGATTTTGAACAATTAGCTTCAGGCATACATATGATAGAAGAAACACAAGCTGCCCTAGCACAGAACCTTGGGGTATCCCACTCTTCATTTTTATTTATCATCTATTACGACTCGTTGTTTGCTACCGATCAAGAAAGCTTTCATATAAGTTGTATTGTTTGTCTGGCAGAGGTAATTCAAACAAACACGAGAAGTTTTTAAGGAAAAAATAAATTTAAATTTCAACCCTCCCGACATAACATAACAAAATATTACCACATTGTCAATATTCAGGGCAAGTTCGATAATTGATACAAACTACAAAAACAGAGATTCTGAAAAAGGTGGAAGACGAAATAAGATGATAATATGATAAAAAAAAAATTAACGGAAAAAGGGGAAAATGAGCGTATTTTTTAAATATTGATGTTATGAAATAATGCGGTGTTTGTGGTACTTTTTAAACACGTGACTTGAACATGAATTTCTGTTAATATCAAACTGTCGCGAAAGAACAGAGAGTACAGTAAAGTAAACTGATCTGTACCAGTATGACTTATTTCTAAAAATCTAAGGATATATAGGATCTTACATGAGTTTCCATTTCATATGAGATTTATGAATTGAGTCTAAGCATTTTTCAATTTAGCGAAAAATTCGTGACGAGTTTCATAAAGTTCATATGAAACGAAAACTAGTGTATTATCATTTTTATCACATACTCAAGATTTTTGGCATTTATTCGTGTAAAACGACAGTTTTCATGCAACCTTGAAACGTAAAAAGCCGCCATTTTGACCCCAGTGCGTGAGTCTGTGACGTCATGTCCTTGTCCTTGTCCCGTTTTTGAAATCAATTATTTTCATGAAACTATTTTTCACAATAAATTTTGATGGAACCACCATTAATACGTGTTTCAGGAATGAGGTCATTGCTCGCCATTGTAACACGGACTGGAGCATTGTATGAGTACAATACAATCTATCGATGTTTCAGGCTTAGAAACACAGAGCTTGTTTATCCCAATCTTTCTAGCTGGGTAACCTACAAGTGCTGTATGGGAGGTGAAGCATCTAGCGCGCCAACACGTTTATAGTTAGCTTGGCACTCTATTCGAGAAATCATTTGTCACTGATTAAAAAATTGCCTTAAATTGATCAATGAAACACATTTTATGTAAGTAATTACGTAATCAACAGTGATATTACATACATAGCTGATTTTGATATCGATATTAAAACAACATAAATATAAACTATTTTATTTGTCGTACACTGACCCAAGCTTTAAAACCTTACATACCTCCCAGCTACCTGGCCGTCATCATACGGCCCGATCCTAAGGTATATCATTGATTTTATCTTAAATCGTTGTCATTGTGTTTTCTGTGTGAATAGTCTTAACAAAAACGTCAGCATTTCCCTGAATGTTTCAATTCCATTTACCATCATTGATTTCAGCTAGACACTAATGAGCCACTCAATGTGATCCCCGCAATCTCTCAACACAACAGGCCAATAACACAAAAATATGTCCTTTCAACCACACAAAGCCAAAAAGCTTAGCGCCTAGATAGTCCAAACACCGCCTTGTTCCAACGTCATCCCTCAGGAATCTGACGCAAAACAAGAACTTGTCTTCTGCATCCATTGTAATACTCGGGACCCTGTATCTTTTTCTCTTTACACCCTTTTGAAATCTGCAACAATTTTTTGCTTTATGTGTCTCTCTTAGTAAGCTTTTTGAAACAATGTTGTTGTACAAGGCTTCTCTATTACCTGCACGCATGGATGTTCGTTCTAGATTAATATAATCTTCCTCTACCTTGAGAGTGTGATAGGGAAATCTCCAACCCGAGGAGTGATGCTTTTTGTTTGTCTAACCCGAGGCTCTGCCGAGGGTTAGACAACCAAGAATATCACCCCGAGCGTTATAGATTTCTCTGTCACACCCTCAACGTAGGGGATGATTGTTTATCTCCCATCCCATTATTTCAGTCACAACTCCACCGACAGTAGTGTAAACAAAAACACATGTGGGGTATGAATATCGTCATTCACTTTTGATGACGTCACAATTAACGGTGACACATTTCAATGACGTCACAATTGAACACGTGCTAATCGGCACGAGACTATCTCCCCCTAGGGGGTGACAAGCTGATCTTTCCCGGCTAAAACGGTATACACACCTGTGAAAGGTGGGAGAAAGTTATCACCCTTCGGTTGAGAACGTTGCAGGTTTGGGAATGCTATTAAAATATTAGTCACTGCATAATTGTAGGAGACAACCAAAGTTGGAGGTCCAGCACGGTCAGTTATCTCCTTCTCCGTCCTCTGTTTTGGGAACACAGATGAAATTGAAGAATTTGTCTGCATCAATACTTGGGTGCTATTTTCGCCTTTTACCATTCACTTTCACTTCTCCCTTTGCAAACCTATCCTAACATAATATTATTGTCATGATGATGATGATGAAGATGACGCTGTAATGTTCTTCAGGATAAATATTAAGCACTGACTTTACAAACAGTATTTGTGTTCGTTTTCATTCACCAAATATACATTTTACCACGTTAAAAAACACACAGCTACAACAGTGCAAGCATGTCTTTCACAGAGAAAATAGAAAATGGTATTTTCGTTTAATACCCGAGTCTTTCGTACATACACATGGAAAACTCAAATAGCAAATATCTGTCCAAACGAATGCTGAAAGATGATCATATCAACATTCCATAGGAAACTTTTCTATAGATCTGTTGGATGATTTGCTAGTCTTATCCAAATATGTATTTGAAAAAAACAATAAGAAAAAATGGCGAGAAACGTCTAAAAATAGCAACACCTAGGTCTATAGCCAGCTCGGCTACGAGGCACAATTTTGTAGGTTTATTAACCAATCATGGCATAATGATGTGTGACGCTGTTAGTCCCTGCCCAAAGAGACAGGGATCATCTAATGTACTCTCAAGTATGACAATTTGTGTACAACCAACAGCTTCCTGAGTGTGTTATGCTGGTTCATG